TACTGCTTTATTATATCTGTTATTGTTTCTGTTTCTGCCTATCCCGTAGGATCTCTGTTTCTCTCTGCGCAAGAGAGGAGCATGATAGACACTAGGTCTTAACCCATGCATGATAACATTAGGATAGTTTGATTCCCTTCGCAACCGTAGGATAGAGTTCTGTCTCTTTCTTTCTCAGAACAAACAGAAAAACACATAAAGATTTCAAACACAATAAAAGACACTTCTTTCGTAAAAGAATGTGAACTCATCAAAACGTCATTTTTGTCCGCTTGGACCGCTAATCAGAAAACCTTTTTTCAGAAAGAATAAAATCAACCAAGACAAGCTTGTGTCTTCCGTGGCCCGAACTACGTTTGCTCTGATCTTTCATGCTGTATGAAAGTACGTAGGCATAGGATGCGATATCCTAGCGAGCAACCTTCCCCTCCTTTCCCGTAGGTAGGCGAACTACGTTGACTCTGATTTCTCGTTCCAGACGGGAATACGTAGGCATAAAGTGCGATACTTTGCCGAGTCATTTTTATTTTCATTTTATTTTCTTTTTCACCCTTGACCTATAGTTTAGATAGAATAACAATCCATACCCGAAAACAAGCGTGGATCCCATCGAGTACGATGGACGTGAGGGGTGCTAATACCTTCCCCTTGCGTAACCGACTCCCGAACCCAGGTTTTGGTTGCGATGACCATATCTTTCCCGTGTTGTGCGAGGTTTACTATGAGCGTTTCCTTTCCCTCCCGTGGGATAAATAACGCACGGTGGCGACTCTACTGTTCAGTCGGCGCCGATTTTCGCAGTAGCGACATTGGGGAATTGATTTTGTTGGTCCATTTCCAACGTCATTTAGAAATGAATACATTCTTGTTGCGGTGGACTACATCTGCAAATGGGTGGAAGTCATAGCTAGCGCTAAGGAAGACGGGAAAACCCGTAATAAAATTTTTGAAAAAAAACATATTTTCTCGTTTCGGTACTCCGAGAGTGTTAATAAGTGAGGGTGGTTCGCACTTTTGTAACACTCAGTTAGCCAAAGCTTTAGAGCAATATGGTGTGTGGCACAAAGTTACAACACCATACCATCCGCAAGCTAACGGACAAGTGAAGGTATCGAACCGAGAGATTAAAAAAAATTTGGAAAAAATTGTGTCTACCTCACGGAAGGATTGGTCAAGCTAGCTTGACGATGCCTTCTGGGCCTATTAGACCGCTTTCAAAGCTCCGATTGATCTCACTCTGTTTAAAATGGTCTATGGAAAAAATTGTCATCTTCCGGTGGAATTGGAACACAAAGCCTTTTGGGCATTGAAGTTGCTGAATTTTGATCATAACTTGAGTGGCGACAAAAGAAAAAGCCAACTTCATGAGTTGGAAGAAATTCGCCTTCAAGCTTATGAGTCGAACAAGATTTACAAGGACCGAGTGAAGATGTATCATGACAAAAAGCTGGTGACCAAGAAATTCGAGGTAGGGCAGATGGTGTTACTGTTCAATTCGAGGTTGAGATTATTTACCGGTAAGTTAAAATCCAAATGGTCGGGTCCGTTTCGAATTCGCGACATTTTGAGTTACGAGGATATTATCATTAAAGATATCAAGACCAAAGAGAATTGGATGGTCAATGGCCAATGGTTGAAGATTTACTTAGGTGGTGATTTCGAGCGGGACAACACCTCCGTGCATTTCAGTGATTTGTGATCGCGTCGGACCATCGAGCTCTAACGACGTTAAACAAAGTGCTTGTTGGGAAGCACCCCAACATTGTAAGTATTTATTGCTTTTTGTTTGGTAAATTTGGTTCTTGATGTGGTGGAACTTGGTTGAAATATGTTGTGCATAAATGTTTTAAAAAACAAAAACCTGTGATGTTCGCTAGCACCTTCGCTAAGCGAAGACAGTAGCGAACATGTTCGCTAGGAAGTCCGCTAGGCGAACAGAGAAAACAGGTTGGTTTATTTTATTTCAGTGGGCCACATAATTGGGCCCAAAACCGTTTTTTGCTAAGTCTTGAAGGATTTTGGGTTTTTCCCACTCCACTCTCACGTTTGCTGCAATTTCACTCTCACTCACATCACACTTGAGCATTTCACTTTGCAACCATTAATTGTTTATCTCAGACCCAATCAACCCCTTCAATCAGGTATGTCTCTGTCTCTATTTTTTTGTAATTAGATTGCTTCAATTTTCATAAGAACAGACCATTTGGGTTGTTATGGGTAAGTTGCAGATCTGTAGAATTTAGGGTTGCATGTTTGTGTAGAACTGTTCTTAGTATGCCAAATACTATGGTTCTTGAACTGTGATTAAAAAAAATGGATTTCCTGGATTTTGGTTGAAAATAGTGGGAGAAAACAAAAAACCTGCAGCCTTCGCTAAGCGAACCTGGAGCGAGTATTCGCTGGGTCTTCGCTAGGCGAAGCTAGTAGCGAACGTGATAGATTTTCATTTTTCTACTCTGATTACTAATCTGTTTTGTGGATACTTTTGTTTCTCTTCTGTGTTGTGTTGCAGATGGCTTCTAGGTTTTGTTCTTCTAAAAAAGGAAAGTCCTCTCAACTTGGGTGCGGAAGAGATTGATGACTATCACCGTGATTTGAGAATCCATAGAAACACAGATGCCATTTCTAAGGCCATATTGATGGAGGGCAAGACAATAGAGTTAAACCCATCTGGGGTTCCTAGAAGGTACCACCGTGAGGACATGAAACCTTTACCCCAGTTGGTGTTGCTACTTATTCTGACAAACATCAAACCAAAATCCCACACTTCAACAGTGCCGATCCTAGTGGCACACTTGGTCCACTCCATTCTAACTAATGTGCAGATTGGTGTGGCTAGAGTTATTGCTGATGAGCTGAAGTCCGTAGTGGATAGTGGACTAAAAGCGGGGGCGTTAGTTAATTTCCCCCTTGATTTCCCATGTCTCATTATGGCCTTATGTGTTCAGGCAAGCAGGTGACTATTCCAGCCGCGATCGATGACCGATACGTGGACACGTATTGCCGGCCTAAGAACTTCATAGTAAGTACAACTGCTACAAATACCGGGGCTTCTGATGGTCCTAGTGTTGTTTCTTCACAGGGTTTCAATCCATTATGGCAGGCTATTTGCAACTACAACTGGGATTGGATGGCGGTGACTCAACGTGCCATGATCGATATTCATGATTCTATGCAGGTACTCCAGCTGCAATGTCATGACCCTTCTGTGGAGCGCACCATGATGACGCGTGAGCAGTTCTTGCAAAATGCGAGCTGGCCTGAGGCCAGGCCTATTTTCGGAGAGGGGGCAGGTGCTTCTGGTGGTCCTGGTGATGGTGGCGTTGAGTTGGATGCTGATGATGGCTCTGCTTCTGGTTTCGAGAGTGTGGAAGAGACCGAGTCCGAAGAGGACTTAGTCTTTGATCTTTTGATTTTATTGCTTTATATTTCAGATATTATGTTTTGTTATTTTAGATATTTGGTTTGTGTACTATTTTGGGGTGTTTTTCCCCCATGCACATTTTATTTTGTTTGAAGTAATGTTAAATTTTTATGTTTAACTTATTTTGTTTCTTTTAAGTGATTTTTATTAATTTTCTGGTTGTTGAGCTGCCGAAACTTCTAGATTGGTTGCTCTCTAAAAAGAAGTATCCAATGAAGGTGCATCCAAGTTTGGATGGCAATGATAAAAATAAACAAGCGAAATAATATTCAAAATTTTATATTACTTGTATCAAATAATATTCAAAATTTTATATTACTTGTATTTTTAGGGGTACACAATACCACCATTAAATTATAAAAATGATAATGTTCTGCAACATTATGAATCTCGTTTTTGTACTGACTCAACTATATAACAATAAAAATAAATAAAATATATCTTAATTAAGTTTGGTCGGTTTCAATTTTCGACGTGTCTAAAATAAGCATCCGAGCCCGACCAAAACAATTTTATACTATCCAAATTAAGCAACCGAATCAACCCGACACCCAACCCAGCCCATTTGCACAAAAAAGACAACTAATCGGGCGGTTTAAATTTATCCACCCCTACTTTGAATAGAAGAGAAGTATGGCAAATGCACAGTTAAAACTGACAACAACCTAGGTTATGTGTGGAATATCAGAAAAAGGACTAGTCCTTACACCCTAAATTTAACTAGACATTTCTTATGTTTATACCATATTAATCATGCACAATATTATAATTCAATTCTCAAAATGTATTAAAATATTTTAATTTGTTTGAAATGCTCTATAAATTTCTGTATATTTCGAAGACACTATCGAATATTTTTGTTTGACGATATTAAGTTTGAGTTTTACAGTATTTTTAGATTTTTTTTCTGAATATTTCTTTAATTTTTACTGAATATTTGGAAATATTCTGAAGAAATGTAACATTTTTTTGGCATTTATAGAAAAATTTGGAAAAAATTAACATGTTTGACCGAATTTTCAAAATATGCGATAAAAATGCATACATTTTTCAAGATTATTTAAAAAATGTAGTAAAACTGCATAGATGTTTTAAGATTTTCCGAAAAATCTGGAAAAATGCCATTTTTTCGCATTTTAAAAAAATTCAGATAAAATTCATACGTTCAATTGCATTTTTTGAAAATTAAAAAAAACTTTATATTCTTACCAGATTTTCTAAAAAATTTGCTAACTCAATAAGTTTAAGATTTTTTTGTAAAATCTGGTAGTTTTAAAAAAAAATTTTTTTTCTTTTTTGCAGTGACGACCCAAGGCGTATATGGTACGATTGCTAGTCGACAGAGTGATCGAGCTGCTGCTGCGAGGGCGAGAGAGAGAGGGGAGATGACGTTGAGGACTCACATCTCCGGGTGGGGAGAGTGGCACCGACAGGTTGTCACAAGAGGCAGCTAGCTAATCAGGCTCAATTTTGTGCACCCTGCACTATCCAACGTAGAGGTTCTAGATCTTCTTCTAGATAGGTGATAGATGATGAAAATGAGTTAGGTGACGATCAGGTAGCGGTTCAAGATGACATGCAAATGGTGGAAGAGACTGTTGTGCCCCATCCGACAAAGACAGAGGTTCCTCATACTTATGAGGAAGAGGTAGCAACTACTATAGAGGTCACTCCAGAGATAGTTATTGAGGTGCCTACTCCGTATACGGCTACTGAGGCGCCTACTCTGCATACAGCTATTGAGGCGCCATGTACTTATTATTTGGAGATTACTCTTCCTGTTGGGACATATGTCACTGCTCCTTATGAGACAAATTCGTTTTTGATAGACGCATCTGTACACACAGATGGAGGGTTTCCCGGTGGGATCAGTGACTATTCTATTCTCACTGGATATGCAGATCATGTGGCATTCAGATTATGGCAAGAAGAGGTATGTATATTTTATGTCAATAAGACTTTATTTATTAATGATACTTCGAAATTAACTGATACTTTTTACTTTGTTTGTTACATGATCATATTTTGCTTAAGGTACGCACTTATGGGTTAAAGATGAAGAAGTTATTTGAGATGTAGATGGATGCGATAATAGAGGAGTGTGGTCTCCTTCCATTGGTGGATTGTTTGCTTGTCGTGCTCGACGGTCAGCTATTGATAGCCTTTGTTAAGCGATGGAACAAGGAGACATCTTCTTTCCATTTTCTATTTCGTGAGATGATGATTGCATTAGATGATGTCTCCTCGCTTTTCCATATTCCGTTGGTGTCGCTACTGCGAAAATCGGCGCCGGCTGAACAGAAGAGTCGCCACCGTGCGTTATTTATCCCACAGGAGGGAAAGGAAACACTCAGAGTAAACCTACCGCAAAGACGGGAAAGGAATGGTCATCGCAACCAAAACCTGGATTCGAGAGTCGGTTACGCAAGGGGAAGGTATTAGCACCCCTCACGTTCATCATACTCGATGGGATCCACGCTTGTTTTCGGGTATGGATTGTTATTATATCTAAACTACAGGTTAAGGGTTAAAAAGAAAAGAAAATGAAATGACTCGGCAAAGTATCACACTTTATGCCTACGTATTCCCGTCTGAAACGAGAAATCAGAGTCAACGTAGTTCGCCTACCTACGGGAAAGGATATCGCATCCTATGCCTACGTACTTCCATACAGCATGAAAGATCAGAGAAAACGTAGTTCGGGCCACGTACGACACAAGTCTGTCTTGATTGTTTTTAGTCCTTCTGAAAAAGGTTTTTTTTCTGATTAGCAGTCCAAGCGGACAAAAATGACGTCTTGATGAGTTCACATTCTTTTACGGAAGAAGTGTCTTTTATTGTGTTTGAAATATTTATTGTGTTTTTCTGTTTGTTTTGAGGAAGAAGAGACAGAACTCTAACCTACGGTTGCGAAGGGAATCAAACTAACTTAATGTTATCATGCATGGGTTAAGACCTAATGTCTATCATGCTCCTCTCTTGCACAGAGAGAAACAGAGATCCTAAGGGAATAGACGGAAACAGAAACAATAGCATATATACAGTAAAACGGTAAAATGCATGGATGCAATAATACAAGCGAGGCAAGGGAGTCCCATTCAACCTCGAACCTAGAAAACAATAGGCAAAAGTGAACAGGATTCACTTTCAACCCAACAGGTTAAACAACAAACAATACAGTCAGGGAAAACCAAACAATACATCAGCAATGAATAACAGCAGAAAAAAAAATAAACAGCCACAGCAGCTCTGCATCAACATCTGACTTCAAGTCATCATCAATCATCTACCAGCTTTAGCAAGCATCAATATCCATCTCCACAGCCTTCAAGCAAGGTCTTGATTATCTGTCTTCCATCTGCAATGGCTTTTCTTCCAGTCTCCATCTCCAAGCCGAGGAATCAATCACAAGAGTGAATTGGGTGTTAAGCAATTAGTTGACCACCAAGGGTGGCAAACAGACTGCTGACAACACATAGAATATTTCTCTCAAGAGTTCTATCTCTTAGACACTATCACCAAGCCTTCCAAAGGAAGGGGGTGAGTGTCTTAGAGAGACTCTGCATCACAGAGAAGGATGGAGGCAATCAAGACCTTCCATGTTTGAGAATCAATCTTACTACTCTAGAGCTCTGCCTAGCTCCTAAACCCTAGACTCTTCAACAGCTGCCAGCACAGAATGCTCGCCATCAACTCTGGAAGTTGGTCTTCAATCTCTTTGATCTCCAATGGCTTCATCATCACAAGTCTTCAGCTCTCCCAATCCCCACACAGACAAAAGAAATAATCCCCAGAGAGGGCACACCACACCAGTCAAGCAAATATAGATAGTATACTAATAGCAGTAGGGGAATCCTAATATTTTCTAAGGGATCTAATAACTACCCATAATCCCTATAGTCCCATACCCCAAAGATTCAATCTCTAACTCCTAAGGGAAATGAACTAATTCACCTATGTTATCACCTAACCCTAATTTTGGTCATGTTATTCACACCTAAACAGATCACCTAAAATTAAGTCCTAAAAATATGAACTAAATTTTATATACAAGATGAAGGTCTAATCTAATCAACCTAAAAAGAATGGATTAAAAATGGTAAAGCATCTATTCAAACTAAAATTAACAAATCATGCATCAAATTAAACTACTTAAAATGCTATTTAAAAGAAAAATATGCTAAAAAATATAAAAATAAAATGAAGTATTAATTTTTTTATGTGATTTTTTTCTTGACAAAATTATGAATAATATGCAAAAAGAATCAATTAAAATCATGCATTTTTCCATTTTTTATGATTTTTGAAAGAATTAATATTTTTTTGAAGAAATAAAATGAATTAAAATTGGAAAGGGGTGCAGCTAGCATGAAAAATTAGTTAAAACAACAAACTGGGCCCAGACTGGGGGGCGCGCATAGCAAGCGCGTCTGGGCCCATCAGCATTCAGAAAATAACAAAAATTAAAAAAAGAAAACGGTGCATTAAGCAATTAAAACAGTTGAAATTGGTTTTGGGCCTGAGGATAGGGGTGTGCATAGCAATGAAATCTGAAGCCCAGTCTGATTGCTTTAATGAAACGGTGCGTTACACCATTTGAATTTCCCTCCGTTGCTTCCTTTAATCGTGGCCATTGGTTTCAGTCCCCAGTCAAAGTCAAATATCACATCGTGTGGCTCTCATGTTGTCTTCAACCTCCAGCAAACCCTAAGGTCTGAAACTCTTCACCATGCATGCATCTTCCAGCTTTCCTTTCTCCCTCGTCTCTCCATGAATCCACACGATTCCAAGAGCAAAGTTGCTCTAAATCCTTCCCTCTACACAGCCATACCCATAGTTCTTCCTAAAACTCACTCAAGAAACAAACCCGATAGGTGCAATAATTCTGATCCACCATTTTCACCTGACATCAAATCTCCCAATGCTTGCTCAATTCCGTCCTAACATTATCTACATCTCACACTGATCATTTTAAGCCATAAGTCCAAGATTATCTTGCATTATCATTGATGTTATAAGCTCCAACAGAATTAGTGCATCATGATCAACATCCATGAAACTTGTTCAAACTTGGTGAAATTCATCATCTAACTTAACTTAACCATTCTATGCTAACAAATCACTAACATGCTGGCTGAATCATGCAATTCGAAGGAAGATACCAACCTGGTGTGATGGGGAAAACAGGTGCTGAATCCTCTTGATCCAATGCTTGCAATGATTGGAACTTGATCCACACTACCAATTCTTGATTCTGTATGCAGAAAATCTGACTCAAACCTCTTGGATCTTGTGATTGAAAAGTTCTTGCTTCTTGGATGATTCACTTGGACAGCACAATCCCTCTCCAATTCTACCCAATCCTTGTGTGAATTCTGATCTATGAGTGATGGTGATGATGATTCAATCAAGAATTGTGAAAATTGGTGAATATTTGAGGTAGTTTGAAAAGCTTTTGCAAGTTGGAAAAAATGTGTGAAACTTGGTGTTATGAGCAATGTGATTCACCAACCATGGCATGGAGTTCTTCAATACAATATATAGATGAGATTAGAAACTCCTAGAACTTTGGAGAAGCTTCCCATGCACACTTTCCCTTGGATTTGGATTATGTAACTTTCATTGTAAGTAACCATGCATAACTCCTAAATCTTGAACCAAACTCAAAATTCTACTTTATCCAATGTTCTCAAAATGATTTTTCCAATCAAAATGACCTATAATTTCACCTCATTTGGCCAAACTATGAAAAATCTCATTTTTAGGTCATTTTTTATTCATTAAATCCACCAATTTTGAAACCTTGTGCTATGAGTCTTTCCAATATTTAATGGTCACTTTTCTAGACTCAAAATGTCATTTGGAGCAAGTTTTATGTTGTGAAGGTTTTCAGTTGAAGCTTCCTTGTATGAGTTTTGGGCATAGGCTTGAGATGACTTGTAATTCTCAGATGACCAAAATACCCTTTGCTTGCCAAGACCATAAGTAGAGTTCCACATATCATATGAAGGCATACCATACCATTATAGAAAGATAAGACAATGAGGAACAATTCTTATGTTGACCAGAAATTCATTTGAAATCTCCTTGAGGGGTAAAAGTTGCTTGGAAGACAAGTAACTTTCACAGACAAAATTTCAGATACCTCAGATGACCTGTAACTTGCAAGGACCATAACTTGAGTTCTATAAATCTACTTGATGTCTTCCACCACTCAAATTAAAGGTATTGAGATCCTCTACAAGTTTCATGTTGGCCAAGGATCCATTTGAAGCTTGCATTTTGACTTATCTTGCTTGGAAATATGACCTAAATCAGGGGATTTTACACAGAAACCCTAATTTAGAAACTCCTCTTTTCCTTGATTTCTCTTGATTTCTTCTTAGCATATCACCATATCCTTCTCTACATGTAAAATGATGAACCCCACATCTCTCAAATAGACCTTAATGCCTTTCAATCAATCAATTGACCTAGAGTTGACCTAGAGTTGACCCCAGATGAAACCCTAGTTGACTGTCCTCAACTGCAACTCTTGTGATCATATCAATGACTTGACTCCTTCTCCAAATGACTTTATAAGTCCTCCATGATGGCTAGATACCCTCCATGCTCATTTCACAGCTCACAACTTCTTTGATGATCCTCAGATACCCTCAGATAGGAGATAGATGCACTGCTTGATCCATTGACTTCTTTAGCTTTCAAATTCTTCCTGATGACTTGAATGAGATTGGATTAGAATAATAACCTCTTGATAGGCTCATAGAGATGAGAATAAGGATTGGTCCCTGCTGGATGATTTGCTATGATATGCTGTGCAGATGGTTAGGCTATGTACATGACTCTATATGCAAATGCTAATGCAATTGAAACATAAACCAAGTGAAATAGGTTGAGCAAATTTTAGGGTGCAACAGCTGCCCCTATTCAAGCGACTTGGACCCGATTGGGTGAAGAGCGAACGACCTTCAAACATTCGAGGTACGAGACGGTTGAATACTAAGAACCCGGAAATTTGCCAACCGCAGAAATAAACTGCACCACTGCTTGGGGAACAACATCCATCAACTGAATCT